CCTCGGCTGCTCCCCCCGTCTGCCATGGGTGCCAGAGCACGCCTTCTAGCACCCGCACCCTCTTTCCCAAGGCCTGCTGAACACGCCACGGGTCACCAGGCCACGTCCTCCCCGTCCACAGCCCTGCCCTTCCCCCAGACCTGTGGCTCCGCCTGCATGTCCCCGCACCGATGAGCGGCACCAGCCCCCTGAAAACCTGCCGGCCACCGGTGGGCTGTCTGGGGACCGTCCCCACCCTAGACCCTCACTCGAGTCTGCCTTTCAGCCGTCGGAGGTGACACAGCTGCTCCTTCGGTCCACCCGCTGAGTCGTCCCTCCCTTCCCCGGCCGGGCAGGCTCGCACTCACCTCCGTCCCGCCGAGTGCCCGTGAGCCCACCTCTGCCGAAGCCAGTGCCAGGCCGTCCCGCCCGCCCCTGTGAGCTCCTTGAAAACAAGGATGCCTCTGACTCCCTTTTAAGTGACCCCATCACCCGGCCCCGGCGCACGGGGCATTGGCTCCGCAGACGTCATCAGCCGGCTCGGGGGAGGCCTGAAGTCCCAGCCTGGGGCCGAGCCTCCCTCACCCGTGTTCCACACCGTTTGCCTGAACAGGACGGGGACTGCAAATTCCAGCCCAGCAAGGCCATTGCCTTCGTGAAGGACGTAGCCAACATCACAATCGTGAGTACCGGATCCTTCCCTCCGACGGGGACTGTGTTCTCACGAGGGGGCCGGGGCACAGCGCACAGCCTCCTCTCCTAGCACTTTGACTAGAAGGTCTTATCGTTGTGCCCAGTCACCGCGGCGGCAGAGGGTGGGAGGGAGGCGGGAGGGGCAGAGCGTGGGACTAGCATCAGGCGCGGGGGCTCTGACCTTTGTCTGTGCAGGGCTCCAGCCTTGTCTCCGTGTCCTCCTCCGTAAGTTGCAGGCAGCGACTCCCATCCCGCAACACGGGGTGTGTGTGTGTGAGTGCCATCAGCGTGTGCGCGAGAGAGCGAATGCAGATTCACCGAGTATGAATGTGCATCAGTCAGGATAAGCCAGGTTATGCTGCCGTAACAAACAACCCCACAACGTGAAGTGCCCGCGGCTGGCTTCACGCCAGGACACAGGCAGAGGGAGAGGTGGTTGATTTTGCTGGCTTTGTGAGGGCAGGCGTCCCGTGGGCAGGGAAGGGGGAGTCATGGAGGGACTGTAGGGGGACCGCAGTGACAGAACGAGCTGGCCTGCCTGCACCCATGGCCCCCACCCTGAGGGTTTCCTTATTAGGAAGAGAGATCGCCAGCAGACCAGCCCAGCGAAGGGAAGGAGGGTCACAGGGGAGCCGAGGTTTCAGGGGAGCAGCCCATAAGCCAAATAAAAAAGGGCAGGAACCGGGCCATTCAGGCAAAACCCCCACCGTCTGCTGGGTGGAGGGTGCAGCCTCCGCCCCTTAGTGGCTTTTTGGCCCAACGCAGTCTTCTCTTCCTTCCTCGTGCACCCACCCAGCCCCCAGCCTCCGTCCCTACCCTGGGACGAAGGAGCACGTTTTGAACGGGGTCAGAGGTGACAGAGACTGTGTGTCCACAGAATGACGAGGAGGCGATGGTGGAGGCGGTGGCCCTGTACAACCCCGTGAGCTTTGCCTTCGAGGTCACCGACGACTTCATGATGTACAGAAAGGGCGTCTACTCCAGGTGAGCGGGCCCACAGCCACAGGGCCGGGGCCGGGCGGGCGTCCCCGACTCCTGGCCAGGCCGTTGCTTGAGGGCGCCGCGGGCTTGGCATTTCCCGCGGCCCACTCGGGCCCCGCGGCTCCGGGCGTGGAGTCTGGTGTGGCGAGGAGCGGGGAGGAGGACAGACCGGGCCGCTCGGCGACAGTGCTTGCTCTGCGTCTGTGGAAGAATTGCCCGCGGCCGAAAACACCCGCGTTCAGGGTGGGAAGCTGCGAGAGAGGGAGGAGAAAGCGGCCGCTCTCGGGACCCCGCACCGGGAGTCTCCCCACACCGCTCTTCAGAAAACTGAGCGTTTCTGGGACGGGGCCCACCTCACCCTTGCCTCTGGCCACCCGCCTGTCCCACGTCATGAGCAGGCCCACGGGACCCACGGCCGTCCGGCCAGCTCAAGCGGGTGGCCCGTGGGGACCTCAGATCCGACACGGCTCCTCCCCACCCTCATAACGCTGCCCAGAAATGTGCTCTGACCCACGTGTCCTTGTGCCCCACCGGCGGGCCGCCCTCCGCTCGGAGCCAGAGTCCGCCTTGTGGAGCGCTCTCCAGCCACGCCAGCCTCTGCCTCCTCAGTGTACCCGTCCATGGTCCAGGGTCGGCTGGGCTGGGGGACCCCGGCGATGTGGCCCTTCTTTCTCTGAGCTCATCTGCCGCGTGGTCCCCATTCGGCCCTCGCGCCCCACCCCAGCCACACTGAGGGTTTGTGGTTTCAGGCCTGCCTTTCTCGGGCTCCTCAGCCCTGGGTCGCCATCCGGCAGGGGCCTCCTGCCAAGCGAAGCTTCCCTGGGACGGGAGCAGAGCCGCGGGCCCTGCAGGTGCACCGCCACCTGCCCTGGCCTGTCCCAGAGCAGGAACCCAGTCAGGCGTCAGCCCAGTGTCGAGTCAGCACCGCCTCTTGTCCTCTTGAGTTTCTTAGGATTTCCTTGTGGAAACTGGTTCCCCGTTGTCCACGGAAAACCTGTGCGTTTGCCCCAAGTACAGGTAGTCTTAAAAATGAATTCAATGGCAACAAAGCAACACCCCAGATACTGTTGCGTGCACGGGTGTGGGAGGTGCACAGGTGCGCAGGTGCGGGAGCGGGGCGGGTGCACAGGTGTGCGGTATGGGAGGAGGTAAGGCAAGTGCACAGGTGCACAGGTGCAGTAGAAACGACAGGTGCAGCTGGAGGGTGGTCTCTCCTTGCTGTGAATTCGGCGTCAGAGAGCGTCCGGGCTTGTAGCTGGGCCAGCGCCCCTCGTGCGCTCCTTTGTGTGAACGGAACCGAGAGGACTGGAGGGACTACGTGTCTCGCGCCGTGAGCGGAGTTAGTTCTCCTTACGTGGCTCCGGTGCCCGCATTGAGAAACACTGCTTTGGAGCCTCCGAGGACCGCCGTGGGACGGGGGCTGAGCCGTCGGATGCTTTCGTCCTTCCTGTGTGTTCAAACCTTTTTTATTTTCGTTCTCCAGCACTTCCTGTCATAAAACTCCAGATAAAGTAAACCACGCGGTACTGGCTGTTGGGTATGGAGAAAAAGATGGGATTCCCTACTGGATCGTGAAAAACTCTTGGGGTCCCCAGTGGGGGATGAAAGGGTAAGCAGCTGGGAAGCGCGTGATTGCTCGGGTCTGGGGGCCCTGGAGGGGTCGCCGCCCCGTCGAGTGTGTGGCTTCTGAGCAGGGGCCAGTTGGCCGAGACCCCGTGCAGGCCCCTGGGGAGGGGCCCGAGACTGTGAGCTACGCACCCCGGAGACGTCCCTGGCAGCCCCCGCCTGCCCTGAGCCCCAGATCTTAACAGTCGTGTGTCAGGAACGGCAACATTGTCTCAGGGGGATCTGTGGCCGGAACCAGAACCAGCATAGAGCCCTGCTGGGAGGGAACCGGGCTGGGTGGGCAGGTTACCAAGGCAACGAGCTTATCCCTGACCGTTAACAGCCAGGGGCTGGCACCAGGTGCCCTGGGTACATGCCCTGAGGGGACTCTGTCCTGTCCCCCACCAGAGTCTGCGTCCTAGGGCAGGGTGGGGCGGGGACAGAGACCATACATAACTATGTGAGGGCCTAGGTCAGGGCTGAGAAGGAGCCCCGGAAAATTCTGGGGAAGGTGGGGTGTGGACACAATATGTCAGCCGAAGAGAGACAAGGAAAAGGTCTTCGCAAAGTCAGGTCGGGTTTTCTGACCATAAAGTAAGCCCAGCGCTCCTGTTTTATGAGTAAATTCAGACGCCCTCACCCCCGGAGCCAGATCTTGGTGAGCGGTAAAACCTTCCAGAAAGGTCTGTGGTGAGGAAGCTCCAGCCAGGCCCCCGCCCACCCTGTCTGCCCAGGTACTTCCTCATCGAGCGCGGAAAGAACATGTGTGGGCTGGCGGCCTGTGCCTCCTACCCTATCCCGCTGGTGTGAACCTGGACGGACGGACAGACGGACTGACGGAGGGAGTCCTGCCCTGGGCGAGGTGGCAGGGACACCGCCTGGGGCCTCGCCCCCGGGCCCTGCCTGCAGGCCTGAGGAGGAGGAGTCCCACCCGTGTCCTCTGACGCAAAGGTGGCCGCCAGCCCTGTGCCCGTAACGGACTCCAACCCATGCGGCCGCGAACACTCTTTATCTCCCACAGGGCCGCTTCTCACGTGTGGAGAGCGCCCGTGACGGTCTTCCCTGCGGTCTTTGTTCAATAAACACTTGGCGAAGCCTCCCCGTGCGGGCTTGTGCTGTGTGCTGGGGCCACACACGGCGTGGCCCCGGTCTGTCCTCCAGGCACACGTCCCCCCAGAGGGAGGCCCCGAGGGGCTGCCTGGCCGGGAGGACAGTGAGGGAGGGCACTGGTGTCACCGTCACAGGCTGGCTTTGAGACAGGTTGTCCCCGGCGGGGAGGTGCGAAAACGTGCCGGGCTTGGCAGAGTCGGCGCTCGGATCCCCGCTGTTGGCCCGGAAGCCTGCCTGTCTCTCTCAGTGGCTTCTCTCTCTCAGTGGCCTCCCTCCCCAGCCACTGGCCTCCCCCCAGGACTGTCCCACCCC